TGTGTATCAGGGATTTCTGTGGGCTTCAAGGGGCTTTGGATCAGGTCTCTGCTGCATGTAATATCAGCCTGGGATATGAGAGAGAACAAGCCTAGTTCGAATAAGGATGATCTGTAATGTGCATTTCCCACTGTCAGGCAGATTTTTGTGTGCTTTTCCAGGAAAGGGGAGGTGAGGGAGCGATACACTGAGATGGCTGTTTCTTTTCTTCTTGCAAAACCGTTCTAAATCAGCTCACTTATTGCATCCGTGTTGTGCTTTTTCTATTAAAATGAGTGCTGTATTTTTATAGCGATTAAGCAAGGGGAAAGGGGCGGAGTATATAGTGCAAACCTACACGATCAACTCTCTAAAGGTTTTCAGCTCAGTGCCCTGCCACTGCCTGTGATGTCACTTTATAGCCCCATGATATCTCATGGGACACTCCAGCCTCATGATTATGGGCCCGAACCTCAGCTGGTGTTAACTGGCCCAGCTCCAGTGCTGAAACTGGTTTGCACCACTTACAGATGTGTCATTTCATGTGAAGCCTGGAGCTCGATGCCTGCAGCATCCATCAGGCATAGGACAGAGAAAGTTCTGCCTAGCGTCTAGAGAAGGGAACTGGGAGCCAGGACCCCGAGATGATTTACTTGTTATCTCATTGCCAGGCATTGATGCCTAAATCCTACCCTTTCTGGAGGTCCAGAGCATCAAGCCTTGCTAGATGCAGGTCTGAAACAGGTGGTGTCCTCTTGTCATGGCAAGTCATTGAGCACCTTGCCCAGTGCTGGCCGTTGGGAGTAGTTTTGTCTGCTGAGACTGGGACGTGTGGGGAAGCGTGAGCACTGCCATCCGCAACTCAGATGGTGTAACTCCAGTTACAAAGCCCAGCCCTGGTGCCCGTGATGCTGGCAGGCTCCCTGTGCACTGCTGCTTGCCCGATACCAGCTGGTTTACCACTGTGCACCCATAGGTCAAATCTAGTTCTCCACTGGTTCCAGCTGGAGTGGCATCAGGCCCTCTGGCAGCCTGTCTTTCTTCTCCTGAAAGGCTTGCAACACCCTCCTTTGCTTCTGGACTACATCAGCTCAGGGAAGAGAAGGATCTGAGCCCTTTCTGCCCATGTGGGTACACTGGTTGGAAAACCCACTGTAGTGATGCCCCCTTGTTACCCCACGGGGAAAACACAGCTCAAAGATCCTAGCTACTCGCCTATTTTCCTCTTCCTTATACAGCCAGGCCGTCCCTTTGGGAAATGGTGCTTTGGTGCAGATTTGCTGTATCCCGGCAGCTGCTGCTTACACAACCCTTGGGGCTGCGCAAAGCTGGGTGAGGATTTGCACCTCGTCTCACACCGATGATGCTCACATTGTGCTGAGACAATGAGCAGCATGGGTCTCCTTGCTACCAGCACTTGGGTCTTGTGTTATGCTGTTACTGCAGTATTAGTGCCATCCTGCAGTGACTACTGGTATATTCGGTGTAACTAAGGGTGACCGCTAACAAATGCTATTGAGATCCTATTGAAAAAAACCTAGGGGAAAATGAGCACGATCAGTCACACCTTTTGCTTTCTAATTTCTGGGAGCAGAGAGAGACTGGCTGTTCATCGGTCACACACTGCCTTACAGAGGAGAATTGCAACAGCCCAAGACTGATCAGCATTTCCTCAGTATTATGGAAGGTGGCCGTGCAGTGATTGAACACCACCAAGCAGAGCTGGGAGCGGAGTTACTATATTTTCTCACATAGCTCATGCCCCCAAATAAGAATTGCACCTTGCTCATAGAGTCATAAATGTTTGGGTCAGAAGAGACCTTAGCAGATCACCGAGTCTGACCCCCTGCCCCGGGCAGGAGAGAGGCTAGACAGGTGTATGTTGTGCCTCTTCTTAAAGACCCCCAGGGCAGGGGAGAGCACCACCTCCCTTGGAAGCCCATTCCAGATTTTGGCAACCCTTACCATAAAGAAGTTCTTCCTGATGCCTAACCTAAATCTGTTCTCCATCAGTTTGTGGCTGTTGTTTCTAGTTACTCCAAGGGGCGTCCTAGTAAACAGAGCATCTCCTATTCCACACTCTCCTCCCCTGATGAATTTGTAGGTGGCCACAAGATCACCTCTCAGCCTTCTCTTGCGGAGGCTGAAGAGATCCAGGTCCTTCATCTCTCCTTATAGGGCCTTGCCTGCAGGCCCCTGACCATACAAGTGACCCTCCTCTGGACCCTCTCGAGGGTGTCCACATCCCTCTTGAAGTGCGGCACCCAAAACTGGATGCAGCACTGCAACTGCAGCCTGTCCAATGCTACATAAAGGGGAAGTAGCACCTCCTTCAGCCTGTTCATCATGCACCTGCACGTGCACCATTGCTTTTGAAAGGCAGAATAAAGGGAGCTGGAAGGGGTGCGGGGGGGAGATCTTACCTTGAAAATTCAGAGTAGCAACAGCTAGGGAGTTGAGCATGATCACTGTATTGCATTGCTTTGACTTCATCCCCCCTCACCCCATCCCCACAGAGGTTGACTGCAGAAACTACTATTACTATTGCTGTATTTCCTCACTTATGATGTGCACCCCAATTTCCTGCAGTTGATTTTTGGGTGAAAGCTATGCATGTTGCATGTGCTAGATATGATAGTTTGAAAGGGGGCATTGATTGCTGTGCCAAGCTGTTTGTCCTGGTGAAGCCCAGTGGTGCCTTTTGGGAGGGGACTGTGTCATTAAAGGGGCAGAGGAGGAGCACCTGCAAAGGGCTTGATCCCAAGATTTGGATTCAGTGGAAAGGTTCCTATTGACTTCAGTGGGATTTAGATCAGAGGCAGGAATCTCAGGGGTTGGTCCTGGGGGTGGAGGGCGGCAGATGTAGCGCCAATGATCTGCACGTGTGGTGGGCGGGAAGTGGCTGAATGCTGTTGCACTCATTCATTTGAATCAGGTTGCATCTTGGAGGACTGGCATATTCTGCTTGGGTGTGGTTTGAATTCACCAGTTCAGCTCACATGGACCAGCACAGGAGAGGACGGCTCTCCTTGCCTGGGAGAGCCCATAACCGGGGATCCAAAGGAATATGTCTCTGTTCCTTAACCCTGTCTCTTCCGTTTCCCTTCCTGAGAAGTCCCACAGCACTGGAGAGTGTGCACGTGTCTTCCCTCCGCTTCTCTCCCCAGCAGCACATTGATGCCTATGTAAGTGCTGTGGACTGAAAGAAGGGAGAGGAGAGGAGAGGAGAGGCGAGAACGAGGGGAAGATGCTGTAGATTTATTTCCTTCTTTTTGCAGTCAGTCCCTTTCTCCCCTTTGTGAAAGCAAAGGCGACACTAGCACTGTGCTGGTGATCTCGAGCTGTACAGTAACATTGCAGTGCATGGGCTGCACGCTTCTTCCAGCCTCTGAGACAGCCAACGTCAGGGAGAGTTTGTGGTTCCTTGCTACTTGCTCTATGGAGTGGCACGAGCAGTGCAGAGTGGGCTCCAGGGCAGGATGATAGTAATACCAGGCATCTAGGCAATTGCATCATTACCACCCATCGTCTTTTGAGGCTGAGAGTCCTGCCATGATCTAATGCCCCGTGTCGTGTGGGAAGCAAGTGTTGCTTCTGCAGTTCAATGTCATTCACCGGGCAGGATGAGGTTCTGTTTCCTGATCCCCAAAAAGCAGATCTTTGTTGTTTTTTAGGATGATTGCAAGACCACTGGAATGCCTTTGATTGTCAGGCCCATCTCTGGGGACACAACAAGGCTGTGGTGAGCACTCTTATAGGACTGGCCTCAAAGTCTGCAGCAATTAAGAGTTGATTATAAATGCCCACTCTCACCTCAATCCAAGTGCAGACTCCTGGGTTATTTGGAAGCCAAAACACCAGTAAAAGAATGAGGAAAGTGGGCTGAAATGGTAATGCTTTGCTAGGCAAGAGGAATAGTATCAGGCTGTGTGCATCCCAGTGATCGGATGGCTCAATGAAGGATGTATGTATACAGATATGTTTTCTGGAGAGCTTGGGATTTGTTCCCTGGCATATCAGAGAATCAGTGTCATAGAAAATTCGGGTTGGGAGGGACCTCAGGACATCACATCTAGCCCAACCCCTTGCTCCAAGCAGGACCAGCCCCAACTACATCATCCCAGGCAAGGCTTTGTCCACCTGGGTCTTAAAAACCTCCAAGAATGGAGACTCCCCCACCTCCCTGGGTAACCTGTCCCATATCCCACTACTTTGTTTCTGTTTGGTTTCTTTTTCTCACTGATGGGCCAGCAATGGTGGGGCTGGAGAATTGTCTCTGGAAGTTGCAATAATCTTGCATTTGCTCATAATCACCTGGGGCTTCAGTCTGGGGTTTGGGTTACTGGCTCAGTTTTTTACTTCGCTTATGATCCAGAGCAAGTTGCTTCCTCCGATTGATTGATTTGTGTTATGCCAATGCTCAGAGACCCCTTTAGAGCAGGGGCTGAGCAAGGAGAATGTCTCCTGTTCCAAGAAGCCCATGATATAAGCCTGAACTGAGAGGCGACAAGTGGAAACAACCGATAGATCAAGTGAAGCACGAGGTGACAAAGCAAAGACGTTGAGGATGCATCGTGGATCCTTCTGTGGTGATACTGAGAAGACCTCACCCAGAGGGATGCTCCATAGGGCCCCACACAGGCTCAACCCAGACATGAGGCAGTGAAGCTGCCCTGAAGTCAGCCTCTGAAAATGAGCATTGCTCCCTGTTGCAAAAGCAAAGCAAAACACGAGCGCTGTGCCAGCAACCTGGCGGTGCGATAACATTACAGTGAACGGGCTGCAGGCTTTTGGCTCCTCTCTCCAAACCTGTGTCAGAGAGAGTTTGTGGTCCCTGTTGCCACTGGAAATCTCTGTTCCTGGCCTACTTGAGGGCATCAGCCGGGTGCTTCATGCCCTAGCTCAGTTTCATTGCTTCAGCTCGGGGTTTGGGGTATGGTGCTGCAGTGCGTGTGGGGTGCTTGCTTCTCAACAGCTCATTCACGAAAGCCACATATGAGAGGTAGGAAATGCTCCCTGCGATGGTACTGGCCAGCAGGTAAGTAGCACATCAATGCCCCAGACGCTGTTGCGCTCTGAGTGGGCATCGTGACGGTCAAGGGATGTCAGGAAGGGGGTCCCCAATTTATCCCCCAGGAAGGGGGTCTCTGAGTACCAGCACAATGCTGTGATAGTTATTCAGTGACACTCTTTTTTGCTTCTCTGGCTTTTCAGGGAAGTCCAAGAGAAGGCGTTGCCTCGCCGATGCCATGCGTCAGCTGTAAGGAGTGAGGTCCTCTTGGAGACACGGCTCAACATGTTCGGTGAAAAGAGCAGCACTTCTTTGCCCAAGAAACCCAGCCAGAAAAAAACCCGGCCTCAGGGGCTCCCATCCCCTGCGCTCTGCTGCGCCTGCGGACTTTGCATCATGCTGGCGGGAATCAACATCACCCTGGTGGGAGCGTTTGCTTTCGGGACCTTCCTGCCCGTGAACAACCCTCCCATCATCATTGGACCCATCTTGCTGGTGGTGGCCTTCACCTTCTTTGGGGCGTGCTGCATCTGTAGCCGGAGACCTCCCGCTCACGGAGCAAGGAAATCCAAGCCGGGCTCCAACATGGGGCTCATCAAACCCGGCAGCACGGCTTTTGAGATCGAAACGAGTGAGCACACCATCCAAGACACCACCGCCGTCCAGCTGAGCCCCACCAGCTCTCCAGTGTCCTCCAAAAAGTCCACGCCCGTCCACGAGACCTCTAAGACCTGCAAACTCTTCACAATGGAGGGCAACGGGCCGGCAGCAAAATACACAGCAGGGGGGGACTCCATACAGCTTAACTTGCCCAGAGACCTCGTCACATCCTAAAACCGAGTCGGCGTGCACGTTAGCAGGCGTGCTGTGGTCAGAAGGATGCAGCTATGGGGAGGGCATCTGAACTCTGCTCCTGAGTGGCTAGCAGATGTGCTGTTGGCCTCTTAAAGTGCATCGAGAAAGGGAAGGGGGGGGACGTGGAAAATAGCAAATAGGAGAATGCAAGTGTTTTCTGGAGGGGGATGTGTGTGTTTAACGCGCTTCACAAAGAAAAAGCGACGGCTAGGGAATCGCCGCCATCCAGTTACTGGGCAATTACGGATCTTTCTAATGTTTTTCGAATGAATTCATTTATTTAATGGTTTTTTAAAGAAATGATAACTCAGTAGCTAGAATTCAGGGCCGCGGAGTGCCGACGGCTCTTTCTCTTTGGAAATGATACCATTGTTTAATGCAATAAAAAGACCGACACGGCGGTAATTAGAAATCGATATCACCCAGTAACTGGATACTTACAGAGCTTTGGGGGTGGACTTCTTTGGGGGGCAATTTACTCTAATGCAATTGCAAATGCAACACAAAATGTAACTTCCATGTTTTTTGATCCTTTCCAAACCTTGCCTTTCTCTTTGTGATTTTTCACCTCCCACAGGTCTGTTGTGAGGCAAAGAACATGGGTCATTTTTCCTCTCTGATCATTCAGCCGTGGGTCTCGGTTGTGATACTGGTAAACCATGCATCTCGGACGGTCAGTTGTGCTCGAATGCAGAGGGACAGCAGGGGGGTGATTAAAATGGGCTGAAAGGAAGACTAGCACCGGGACAGCCCACAGATAAAATGGGAGAGGAAATGACTATGCGCTGATTTAGGCGTGAAGAGGCCACATGGAGGAGTAGCAGTGGATCAGAATTAGATGCTACCTGGCGCATGCTGGGGCGCAGATTGAGCTTTGAGTCAGCTTTTATTTGGGAGGGGAAAATTACCTTTTGGTCCTAATCATGAAACAGGCCAGCAGAGCTAGAAGGTGATGACAGGATTTCTTTTACCTTGCAGCGAGTGGCCATCGGTCCTGTTGCTTGGCTGTAAGTTGTACAGGACGTAGGAAGCGCCGTATGTCCCTTGGTGAAGTCGTTGGGGTATTGTGAGGCAGAGGGGGAAGGGTATGGAGTATAAAGTCCTGGGGAGGCCTTTGATACTCTGGAAAAGAGGTCAGTGTTGTTTGCTGCTGTGCGTGAAAGGCTCCCTCCTCATTCTGGGTGCTCCAGACTCCAGGGGTGTAGGGATGGGGCCGTCTTGTAGTTGGGCGAGATGTAGAGCTGAGGAGCTGCTATGCAGCCTGCCTCCCTCACGCACAGCTGGCCTTTCAGCAATGGATATTAATACCACTGTCAAGAGCATTCATCTCTGCTCCTTGCAGCTGGCTCTTCTGGGAGATGGATGGGGCACAGTGGAGAGGAGGCAGCCAACACCAGCGAAGATCCCCAGGAAGCCCTGCACAAAAGGGCCTGAAGAGTGGTTGAAAGAGCAGGTCTTGGGGCTACAAGCTCCGTTGGCTTGTTGCTAGCCCCAGGTGCTCATAAACCATGAGCCAAGCCCCCACAAATCCAAAGCGGGGCCTAGAAATTTAATGTGCATTTTTTTGCTTGCTTCTTTGTGCTGACAAATGGTGTCAGACTCAGGTTACTGACCTTCTTTTGGAGGGGACATGCTGTCAGGCCTTTTCCCCACAACCCAGAGGGGTATCTAGACCCACTGTGCTAACAAGAAAACAGAGGGCCTCACCTGTTCACATGACTCCAGGAGGCGGGAGTTTAAAGAGAGGGAGGAACCCCACCAAATCTCATGACACTGATGAAATGGGTCTAAGTTATGTGACAAAAACACTTGTGTTGATTGCACCGGTGTAACTTTCTCATGTGTTCAGGCCTTCAAGAAGGCAAAATTGCTTCGTGCCCTCAGCTGCGTCTCCAGGGTCCTGCTTATCTGGTCTTGGATAACCAGGATAACTTGGATAACTACCTGCTGGTGGTTGTCATTCATTGGTTGTTGCTAGGATTTCTTTCCACAGCTGTTTGGGCTGACAAATGCTAACATTGGCTAGTAGAGGATGGCCCCCAACTTGCGTTACAAATCACTGATGATCTTCTGGGAATTTGTTCAATGAAATCATTCTCCATCATGATCATTCATGAGCAGGGCAAGGTGATGATGGTAGGGGTGACGGCATGTTGGCCACTGAGCGCCTGAATCCCATGGACAAAACTTCCATTGATGGGAGCGGGAAAAGGATGAGTACTTTGAGGGTTAACTTGGATTATTACTGTTCAGTGATATTGCTGTACCATGCAGAGGTCCACATCAAGAACCGGGGGACCTTGTGTACCCTGAATGTGGTTCAAAGAGATTTCCATCCAGGTAGGACAAAGGGCAACTGGTGGAAGCAACACACGGGTGAGGTGTGGGGCCCAGGGTAACAATGAGGTATCCGTGTGTTAACAAACCGCCTGTTTCTGCTGCCTTCCCCTGAGCGGTGGGTATGGCAATGCCACCCTCCTAGACATGATGTGGGATAGAGGTGCGGGTGTTCTCCTGATGTGGCAATGTCCTGCTTTTCAGTTTTCCCTGTCTGTCTGCCTCTGTGATTGGCTGTGAATAAGTAACATGCAACTCTGTGCATCTTTCTTGCACTGCAGGAGTTTTTTCTTGTGATGAAAGTCTGATTTTTTGGTTGTTGGTGGTGTAAAGGTTGATTTTTATTATGATTATTGTTGTTATTCTTTCTGTGTAATGTGAAGAGAGACCTATTAAAAATAGCTCTTGGTGACTTTTTTGCTGGAATGTGCTGTTTCAGTTCTTCTTAAATCTCTTCTCATGCCATTGGGGTTGGTTGTGTCTCTGTAGCGAGAGCAATTTGTTTCTCCATCTGTGCCATACATAGGGCACGTCTACATGAGACACTTACTGCGCATTAGCCTAATAACACGGTGCAGTAGTGGGTCACAGCACAAACTGCTAGTAGCCGACTGTGCCGTGTTATTAGGCTGAAGCATCACTAAATAACCGTTCACTGGTGCTACTGTGCAGTAACTCTAGGTACTGCACATTTAGTTAGCACCTTATTAACCACGTACTAAACTAAATGTGCAGCATCTAAGTTGCATTAATGAATGTGTAGATGTGCCCACAGTGGCGTTATTCATTTCCTGTTGGGTACTAACACCCACCAGGAGGCAAGCTTTCTCAGGATGCTTTTGAGGTCACAGCAAATGATTGAGAGGGAGATGGAGATTAGCTCTCCCCACTGGAAGGCCGGAGATATCATCCTCTCTATAGAAATAGCCATCAAATACGTTATCTGGCACAGGCTGGTTCGTGGTGATCGCTGGGGAGTCGCCTACAGCAGTTGCAGTTGGGTCCTTATTTTTTCAGTTGAGTCAAGGTATGTATATTATGGATTGAATTCTGCCCTGACTTGCATGTAGCAACTCCACTAGCATCAGCGGGGAGGTATATTAGGTATTTTTAGGCAAGGTTCATGTCCTTATATCCTATGTGATCCCTTCACAAGAGATTCTGGACTTCTTTTCTGAGCAGACACTGAGTCTCGTGGTTTTAACAGGGGGTGGGAGCTGGGAACTCCTGTGGACTAAGCCCAGGCGGGAGGCATAAGGATGAATATTTTAAGGCTGTGAGTATGAATGTGGTATGTTTTATGTATGTGCAAATGAGTGGAGAGATGCTATCTGCTTTGTATTTTGTTCCTACGCTCAGCCCAGAGATGGAGAGAGGCAGTGGGTGGGAAGAAAAGAGAGACTGGAGAGGCTGGAAGCTTACCTAGTCGAGAGCTTCTCTTCTGCACCCAGAGAAATGACTTTGGGTGGAAGGAAATCTCTCCTTCCCAGACATTACAGCTGCAGGAAGGGCTGTGAAATGAGCTCTCAGAGGAGACTCCAGCTAGGTTGGTCAAATGGTACGAACAAGGCCAAAGAAAACTTCTTGGAAGGATGCTGCTTTTCAAAACCAGGCGAGGCAAGAAAGGAACAGCCTTAAGATTCCCAGATGCCTTTCCTTGATCCTTTTCTGCTTACAGCTGTGTTGACCTTGGTCCTAACTCGAAGCCTGTCTCCAAGTGCCGCAGGGTGAGTCTCTCGCCCCCAGGAGAACGCCGGGTAAATATTAAGCTAAGTAAATGGCAATGTCTATTCCACGTAGCCTGCTTCTTAGGGCAGGAACCATTTCCCCCTTATTTTGGTGCTCAGTGAGAGTGAAGAATGGAGATAAACAGGGATGGATTCAGGGAACCTGCTTTGTATTATTCATGCCATTTTCCTGGGTGGGATGTCCTACTTGAACATGTTACAGGAGGGAATGATCTTCTCCAACTGACTTTCCTTGGGGTATGGCACTGCGTAAGGAACACTTTAGAAACTTTGATATAAATGCCTTCATCTTGTATACATCCTCCGTTGCACTTGGGCACTGTAAATGTGTCGCAGAAATGCTAGGTTAACCTTGTGCAAAGACAGGGTTGCAGGGCCTACTTCCATGTTTCTGCTGATTCCAATAGGAAAAGACTGACAAAGTCTTTGACCACAATAACAGGAACAAAGTAATTCACAGAGTCACTGAAGTTTAGGGTTGGAAGGGACTTCGGGAGATCATTGGGTCCAGCCTCCTTGCTCTGGGCAGGAAAGACTGCAGGGGTCAAATAATCCCAGCAAGGTGTGTGTCCAGTCTCCTTTTGAAGATCTCCAGGGTAGGTGCCGGCACCACCACCGCTGGAAGCCTATTCCAGAGTCTGCTCACATGAACCGTGAAGAAGTTTTTTCCTTATATCCAGTCTGAAACCTTCTTTTAGGAGTTTATGACCATTGCATCCAGTCCGAAACCTTCTTCTAGGAGTTTATGACCATTGCATCCAGTCTGGAATCTTCTTCTAGGAGCTTATGACCATTATGACTGTAATTAAAGCCCATTACCATAAGGACCGGCACTCAGTGTTGAGTGGAAACCTAACTGATAACCTCTAAAGACCATCCTAGCTAAACAGTTGT